CACTCACTCACTCACTCACTCACTCACTCACTCACTCACTCACTCACTCACTCACTCACTCACTCACTCACTCACTCACTCACTCACTCACTCTCTGTGCTCGCTCACTCGGTACTCGCGTCACTCCACCCCGGATCAACGTGCTAACGATCACTTTCTCTGTGTGGGTCCTTTCCAAACGCGACTAACGCCAAGCTAGCCTATCATCCGTGCTACGGCCTAGTCGACGTGCATAATCGAATCATCTCTCTAAAGGTTTCCTCAAGAAGGCGAAACGTGTGCTGGACAACCTAGTCGAGAAATATCCGAACAGTATGGAGCTGAGAAACCAGCAGGGCATCGGTCTGGTCGAATTCGGCAAGATGGCCGAAGCTGAGATGATATTCGACAAGGTATACAGCATGTAGCTATAGTATCATGTAATGAGCGATATAGATATATAAGATATATATATATAAGATATAAGAAATATTTGAAACGATAAGACGATTTTTTAAACGATATGATGTATGGATTCAGCGTGATAATGCACGCGAATGTTATGATAATGGAATCTGTATGTATTCGCCGTGATAATCTTTGTGTCATGTCCGATAGGGTGATGAAACATGTATACATATTGTTTACTAGTAATATTGCTGATGAGAAACCATATACAAATAATAATAATACATGGCAATTTATGATGTTAACGTGGACTCTTTCGACGCAAACTCATATTAACAGAATGTTAGAGTTTCTAGTTAGTTAGCTGCTTTTACAGTTAGCTGGCTTACTTTATCTGATATTTCTACAACGATGACGCAGTCTTGGTGGCAACAGTATCATGCCAATACGCGTGTGATTTCTCAATTCTCGTTTCATCGCACGAGTTTAAAGTCAGACAAAACACCTTCGACAAATCTTGAAACTTCATTTCGCCGAATTTCATTTTTGCTGAACACGCACGTAGCAACCACGTGACGAATAGAGGTAACCAATCACAGCGCGTCCTACCCCTGCGTGTTCCCAGGTCCTGCAGAAAGACCCCGAAAACGGACTCGCGCATGCGTACAAGGGATACATCAACAAGATCGCAAAGAACAACCCGGAAGCTGCCATCGAGCATCTGCGGAAGGGGATCAATAGCGGCGCCGACGGTACCGTCGACAACAAGTTCTACGTGCATCTCGGCGACTCGCTTTACAGAGAAGGAAAACACCATGAAGTGAATGCGCTATTTGTGACTTAGTATCTCACGCGTAAGATCGCATGCGGGATCACGTAGATAGTGGCGGAAAGCCTGTGACGAAATAGTGCGGTAATAATTATTGCTATATATAATATAGGCCTACATATATATACTCAACATCTGCTAATCTCATTAGTAATCTACCTCAAATTTGACCCTGGCGAATTTTACTTGTAGAATCGAGCAAAAAAAGCGTACAGACACGGGCTATATAATATCACCATTATAGACAATCACCGAGTATTACGGAGTGGGACGCTCGCGATGCCTTGTTAGTAACGAGAATATTTTAGTCGCGTTGTTTTTCGCTGCAAAAAAGGTCCGTCTGACGATGTCAATCCACAGATGGGAGTGTCTGGGGGACGGCGAGAGACCGTGCTGCCATGACAGCATAAGCACGAGCGGGGTTTTTTGTTGGTCAATATTTACCCCTGCCTGAATTCAGTCACACGTGGTTTGTTCAATCAAACGCGAAATTTAATCACCTCAGTAGATCACGTTAAAAAACAGGTCGCTGTGAAGCTACTGGCGTGTGTAAGCGGGTGTCTATTAATAACGAAGAGCTTACGTAAACCCCAGAGAAGCAGACTGCTAGCAGACCTCGATATAAAGTCTGCTAGTGTACGCGGTGTCAGCTAGAAGGCTTCGCGATCTCAACACTAGAGGATGGAGATGGAATACCTGATTATCTTCAGGATAACACTGACTCTGATGGTGATGGAATTCCAGACAGATTGGAAGATGAGGATGGAGATGGTATTCCTGATATTCTTCAGGACAACACAGATTCTGATGGGGATGGAATTCCAGACAGACTAGAAGATGAAGATGGCGATGGAATTCCTGACATCCTACAAAACTGCAAGGACGAGGATGGGGATGGCACGCCTGATTGTCTAGAGGATAATGATGGGGACGGGATTCCGGACATTCTGCAGGATAACACCGATTCAGATGGAGATGGCATTCCAGACCGGCTAGAAGATGAAGATGGCGATGGAATTCCTGATATTCTTCAAGATAACACAGATTCTGATGGTGATGGAATTCCAGACAGACTAGAAGATGAGGATGGGGACGGAATTATTGACATTCTTCAGGACAACACAGATTCCGATGGGGATGGAATTCCGGATAGACTAGAAGATGAAGATGGAGATGGTATTCCTGACATAAAACAAACATTCAAGAAGCGTAAACTCCATTCAATAAACGTAAAAGAAACTAAAGTCAAACAAGCGCCAAAGCAAGGAAAGCCCGTGGCGAAACAGCCAGTGAAACAGACGAAACCAGTAGTAAAACAAGCGAAACCAGTAGTAAAACAAGTGAAACCAGTAGTAAAACAGGCAAAGCCAGTCGTAAAACAAGCAAAGCCGGCAACACCGAAGGTTCCACCGCAGGCCGCAAAACCTAAGGTCGTGCCGCACGCTAAGCACGCAAAACAAGCGCCCCCTATGCAGTCACATGCCCACGCCGACTCCGAGACGGCTGCCACCGAGGAGGCCCAGCACTCTCACGGCTACGCCTCGGGGGTAGAACTCGAGGATGTTGACGACAGCGACGCAGGAGAGACCAACATCAAGCTGAAGGATTTCAGCGCCGACGACCTGACGAGCACCGAGGTAGACGATGACAAGGCGGGAGAGGATGGCATCGTGCAGAAGATGAAGTACCGCAAGAAGGCGATCACGAACGAGGCCGACTACAACATTCGAAAGATGCTCGACATGGCCGAACTGCAGCTAGAGAGAGTGAGTCTGTCGTAGGCAGGTGAAAACGGGGTGAGACTAGGCAAGATTTCGGCCCTTGCTTATTATATATACACCCACGTTGATTGATTGACAACCAATGTTGTCCGTGAGTCATTCATTCGAACGGGACGCAGCCGTTTTTATTGATACAGCATATGACGTCATCACAGTCACGCAACCACGCACATCTATTCATCGCTCGTAGTCGCTCTTTACTGTCGACGCTTTCCAATAAAAAGATCTCATTTCCGAAAAGAAGGCATCGACACGGTCATAACTCCTGACACTTCATACGCAGTAAAGCCACTTGCCCTATATATCGACTGCTTAACGACCGGTAATCAACAGCGCAATTTTTTCCACTCATTGGTTCAAGGGCGACGACCACCAGGCGAAAGAAAAGTTCGAGGAGATACTTCGGAGTCACCCGTACAGCCCACGCGCTCACTACGGCAGGGCACAAGCTCTGGAGAGCATATCTGAGTTCAAGAAGAGCAATAAGCTGTTGGAGCAGGCCATCGAGATGTACGAGCAGGTGACCGAGATGCCCGATGCCCCCTTCATTCTCATCCTGCAGTCCGGCATCAGACAGGTGGACAGACTCCGCTTTAGAGGTATGAACATATTATGGACGTATTAGTGGGATATGTAGACGTATGGACACATGGAGGCATGAACGTATGGAAGTATGAAGGTATGAACGTATGGAGATATGAACGTATAGAGGAATGAACGTATGGAGGTATGAACGTATGGATGTATGAAGGTATGAACGTATGGAGGTATGAACGTATGGAGGTATGAACGTATGGATGTATGAATGTATGGGAGTATTGGAGGTATGAACGTATGATGTATGAATGTAATGGAGTATGAACGTAGATAGAACGGAGAGGTATGAACTTATGGAGAATATGAACGTATGAGGTAGAACGCTATCGAGATATGAACGTATGGAGGTATGAACGTATGGAGATATGAATGTATGGAGGTATGAACGTATGGACGTATGAACGTGTGGAGGTATGAACGTATGGACGTATGAACGTATGGAGGTATGAACGTATGGAGATATGAACGTATGGAGGTATGAACGTATGGAGATATGAACGTATGGAGGTATGAACGTATGGATGTATGAATGTATGGAGGTATAAACGTTTGGAGGTATTACCGTATGGATGTATAAATGTATGGAGGTATGAACGTATGGAGATATGAACGTATGGAGGTATGAACGTATGGAGTTGACGTATGGAGGTATGAACGTATGGAGGTATGAACGTATGGACGTATGGAGTATGAACGTATGGAGTATGAACGTAATGGAGTATGAACGTATGGAGGTATGATGTATGGAGGTATAACGTTTGGGCGTTTACGTATGAGAGGTATTACCGTAGGATGTAATACAAATGATGCGAGGTATGACACGATGGAGGTATTACGCGTATGGATGTATAAAATGTATGGAGCGTATGAACGTCACTTGACGTCATAGCACCTATGGAAGGGCAGGCCGTATCCAGAGGTTGGGCAAGGGGGGTTACAAAATGGCGATGTCGAACTTCGCTCGGGAGCCGCGAAGGCGGATGCGGGGGGAAAGTCGCGCGCATTTTTAGGTTTTTAACACGCTTAATGCTATATTCCTGGCACTCTAGTTCACTTCAAGGTGTTGTTGAATTCATCACAAAAAAAGCAGTGTATATACCATAAAACAATAATTAACATCATCATGGGCGTGGTACAGGATGTACAGGGGGGGGGGGTCTAACGTAAATCAAACTCGAGCAACCGAAGGGGGGTCTGGGGCCTCTCCCTAGAAATTTTTTGAAAATTAGACACCTTGAAATGCGTTTCTGCGCGAGCAAGGGGGGGGGGTGCCGGACCCTCGCTGGCCCCCCTCCCTGTTACATCGCTCCTGTCCGATAAATAAAATGATATTTGTAACAAACTCGTTTCTGGTTGTTGGGAATTATGAATAATTATTCGGTGGATGTGATTTACATCCAGTCTAGATACTGAAGACCTGTGAGCTCTGAAATTATAGTGTTACTAAACTGGTTACAGTAGTCAGAGTGTTTAGTAGTCTACAAACCATACATGAGTCTTTATGCTAACAAAGTATAAGTACATTTAATGGTTTACAAAAAAACTTACCATTAAATTGATCTAGTGAACACCTTTATACCCACTAGTATCACAATACATTTATTTAGTATATAGATGCCAATGTAAACCGAGTAGACCCAAGGTAAAAACTGTAGGTCCAAATTATGTTACTAGGTTACAACTAGTACTTTCTTTTTATCAAGCAAGGGGGGTTACAGAAACCAAATAACCCCCCCTGGATACGGCCCTGGGAGGTATGAACGTATGAACGTATGGAGGTATGAACGTATGGAGGTAGAACGTATGGAGGATATGAACGTAATGAGTATAAGTATGGAAGTATGAAGTTTAGAGGTATACGGTATGGAGGTTAATGTAGGAGTATGAATGAGGAGGTATAATATTTTTGAGGTATCGTAATGATAATGAACGTATGGAGGTATGAACGTATGGAGGTATGAACGTATGGAGATATGAATGTATGGAAGTATGAACGTTTGGAGGTATTACCGTATGGAGGTATTACCGTATGGATGTATAAATGTATGGAGGTATGAACGTTTGGAGGTATTACCGTATGGAGGTATGAATGTATGGAGGTATGAACGTATGGAGGTATTACCGTATGGAGATATGAACGTATGGAGGTATGAATGTATGGAAGTATGAACGTATGGAGGTAGGCAAAGTATGGAGATATAAGTATGGAAGATATGACGTTGGAGTATTACGTATGGAGGTATTACCGTATGGATGTATAAATGTATGGAGGTATGAACGTATGGACGTATAAACATATGGAGGTATGAATGTATGAACGTATGGAGGTATGAACGTATGGAGGTATGAATGTATGAACGTATGAGGTATGAACGTAGAAGGGTATGAACGTAATGGAAGTATAATTATGAATATGAACGTTTGAGTATTCCGTATGGGAGGTATTACCCGTATGGATGTATGAATGTATAAAAGTATGGAGGTATGAACGTATGGCGGTATGAACGTATGAAGGTATGAACGTATGGAGGTATGAACGTATGGAGGTATGAAGATATATTATGAACGCCCGAGGCCTCGTGATGTAACATCTCATCGTTCTTTAGTCGGTGCCTGACAGTTCTAGCCTGACGCATCTATTTCGGAAGGTCACGGCGTGGTATGCTGGCGCCCCTAAACATAGAATCGGTGAAGTGAGGCAGAGCGGTGTATATTTTTTTTCTGTGAACTAAACAAGCACTCAATATAAGGCGCAGCCTATCTTATGCATCGGTTTTCAATGTGTGTGTGTGTGTGATGTGTGTGTGTGTGTGTGTGTGTGTGGTGTGTGTGTGTGTCGTGTGTTTGTATGTGTATTCTGTGCGAAACGCGCGTGTGGGAGAGTCGTGTCTTAGTCAAAGCCACGCAACACGCGAGCAAAGCCGAATTTTGTTTTCCGCGTTTCGCGTTCTGCTCGCGAGACAGCGCACACACGCACCCGACAAAGCACAAGCTGAGGCAAACATACGAAACACTGCGTAAAGGCCGCTGCTCGACGATGACATCAAAAATTAAGCCATCCAATGACATCACTTTTGTGTGTCAGTGATATTTTTAAGTATATTGATGGAGACCGTCTGTGGCGTGCTGTGTACAGAACAATTGACGCACACCCGAGCAAAACGTACGCTTCGACAAAAACACGCTCCGCGAATCAAACATTGCTTGTTCGCGGAAACACGCTCAGCTGAGGCAGTGTTTTCTGTTTCGGGATCCCACACAGCCCGAACAATCAAGCGAACACATGTGTTGTGCGTCGGCTTTAGTCAAGCAGTAGTCGCAATCTATTTATAGACAACCAGCTCTATCCTGCATCAGCATCCCTAACTATAATCACAGTAGAGATTGCATCCGTAGCGACAGGGTTAAAGCTGATTGTACATCAACACTATGTGAACGGCGTCCGCCTATTAGCACAGCCCACGGGTAACGCACTGATCTAACTCTATATGCATGTATTCACGAAGAGCCAGAAGGTGATTCCGGTACGACAGGGGAATGAAATTTCCCACGAGAAAACTGCGGCGATTGCCTAATCGCGTATCTCCTCGAAGCAATTCAGTTGCCCCGTTCTCTCTCTCTCACTCACTCACTCACTCACTCACTCACTCACTCACTCACTCAAATCACTCACTCACTCACTCACTACCACTCACTCACTCACCTCACTTCAGTCACTCACTCACTCACTCACTCACCGCACTCAGTCTTCGCTCGCTCGCTCGCTCATTCGACTGCAGGGACTCGACTCGGCCTCGCACTCGGCACTCACTTCACTCAACTCACTCACACTCACTCACTCACGTCTCTGTGCTCGCTCACGTCGTTAGCTTCGCGTCACTCCACCCCGGATGCAACGTGCTAACGAATCACTTTCTCTGTGTGGTCTTTCCGAGCGCGACTAACGCCAACTACCTATTCAATCCGTGCTACGAGCCTAGTCACGTGGAATAATCGAA